TATACTTGATCGTTGTATCATTTCATAGTAATGGTCTTACTTCGCTCTGGATATGCGGATACAATTTGAATGTGAATTGGTCTGTATGGTGTGCGTTGCATACGTTTACTACTACCTTGAAGTTTTCTTCGTTCAGCGTCAAACAATTGCTCCCAAGTAATCAGTTAGGCAGGCTGCAGAATAAAACCATTGCATAGACCTCAAGCACTTCTCGCTGCAATCTTGACTGAATGTAGGGTCGTGATTTATCACAACCAAATAAATGTCACTGGGGCCCAGCCAAATCTATTGTCAGTCGAGTCACTGAATATCGGACAGTTTATCGATCCTCGTTAGGGTTAAGAGCAGCCAATACTCATTAAACAGCTGCACTCCATTGTGAAATTCAGTGGAGATATATTCAATGATGTCATGTCAACTAAATGTAAAAAAGAAATCAACATTAAATAAAAGTTGTTGATTAAGTGATTGGTCGGATTGGTACCTTTAGTTGAGCGGTTTAAGTTGCTTGGAGGCTAACTTAGGCGAGAATTTATGCACAGGGGATTTACTTCAACAGCAGTTTCAACGCCACTTTATACCTTGTCAGGAAAGAATGTTAGCTTTCCATGAACTGAAACGTTCGGCTGGTTAACGGGCTCTTTGTGTTAGATATCAGCTTTAGCACATCCAGACAGTTCTCTTATTACTGGGTGTTTCATCTTCGACACCTATGCAAGTGACCAGATTGTCGGTGCTGTATTGTAGAAAGTTTCTTCTAACAGAAAAGAAAGATTGATTGAGTATGGAAACCGAATGTTGCATAATTCGAAAAAAATTATTTTGCAACTTCAAAAAATATGCTAACAGTCGTTTGCTTTGTGCGATGGCTCCGGTATTACTTGCTGAAACGTAGGTATGTCATTACAACCGATGGCTGCACAACTTCATATATCCCGAAAGGTAAACCTCTTAACGGCAAGAGTGGTTGCAAGAATAGTAATACGAGTACATCCATCGTCACATCCGGCAGCATCAGGACACAGGGACCTTATCATTTGGAGCAGCTTAACCTCACAAAATCTGTCTTTCGTGAGTCACACTGAAAATCAAGTTAATAGAAGTGAAAATTATTGGTGATAATAAATAGGCTCATATTTAGGTAACAGATTCGTAAATTTTAATAGCTGATGACTCTGTGAAGAGCCATCTCCAGGAGGAACTCAAGGTGTAAATTGAAAAGATGGGTGTCTATGTTATATGTACGAATTCACAATAATGATGAAAGGAGTGCCATCTTTTTTCTATGTACCAAATTATTCGACTAAACCAAGTGTTCCACATTACACGGATTTTGTTCTCTTAGATAAGATTCATACAGAATTGAGCCGTGCGGGCCAAAATAAGATAATGGAGGAGATCGAACGTAAGTAATGAAAGAGAAAAGAAAAAACACACGCGAAAATGTTAGAGCATGCAGGAAGTGTCAAGTGTTGAGGAACACGACGTTCAGTGAAGGGATCTCTTTTAAAGATATTCATTACCAAGCTGTACAACCATATGTATAAACATTTTAGAGTACTTCGTCTCTTCGGTAAGAATCCCTTATAATGGCTGGTTATTCTCAGTCACGACACAAACCCCAAGGAAAACACAAATACTTTAGACGCACCACATGGCATACGGACTGTAGGCAAAAGTTAACTTTTTAAATGTTGGGATTTCCTAGAATACACTTCAGTCTCATATGATCGAAACCACTTTCCACGAGGGTTTCACGAGAAAACCTGACATGTTCTTGCTGAATGGGAACAGAATCTCGCTATGATTCACCAACATTTCTATAGCCATTTATACTTAAGTAATTACCTGGAGACATCAGTGATCCACCGCCGCTAGATGCGGAAGCCTGTTAACTGAAAAGTTCTTCTATTTCATCCGTTGCCATTTGAAGCATTTGACCGTACAGCTTGATAGTGAATACGTTGAATGGAGATCACGTGGATAAACTCCATGTTTTTAATAAATTACGGGCACAAAAGACATCCTCCCCACACCCATATTAAATGTGACTTCAGGTTAATCTAATAAGGTAGTGAGGATTGACATTTTTGGGCCGTTAAAGGGGAACAATAGGCAAAATTAATGTATTTTATTTATGGTCAATCACTTTACTAAGTTGTGCGAGGCGATTTCTCTGGAAAGTATGGATGCTCAAACTGTAACTAAAGCAAACGTTGAAATTTGTGCCACTTATTGAGATGTATTCGTCCAGTTACATTCGGATAGGTATACCAAATTTGAAACCATACTTTTTACAGAATCATGTCAAGTGATGAGGACCTGCAGAGCGCAAAAAACGGGCTTGTCCAGCAAATCAGTTAGACTCTTAAAAATCTATTGAGAGCGTCTGGTAATCAGTCGGAAGCTGTATCATGTGAACTAGCTATGAATAGATGTTCACTGACGGCGTCAATATATCTTTTTGACAAACCCTCATTTACAAGAATTTCAGATGAGCTACTGACATTAAAAATGCACCAAGAACCTTTATTAGTATCAGACATGGCTGTAAAGTCTAAAGAGTTTATACAGAGGTGTCGTAATATGGCTGTAATACAACTGGGTGTGATGCAGAAACCGCAAAAGAGATATTATGATAAGAAAGCTCATAGTTTACCCTCATAACACTTAAATAGTATTGAACGACTGTCCACTTCAAGCCTTCGTTGCATAGAGGTGAAAGTAACATACACGAGTTTCATAATTGCATTAGACAGTTTTTCAGTATGTTTATGATAGTTTATAAAGTTCCGTAGTTACTTTCATATGGACTGATTTATTGCACCCTCGTTAGAGGCATGGAAAAAGAGAAAATACAACTAACAGTTTATTGTCCCTACGTTACTAACAATACGTGCCAATTCACTTAGGCTATCACAAAACCAAGTATATATATATATATATATATATATATATATAAAGATTGTCTACACTGACAGATGATTCGGTTCGATATGCATGCACCATATAATGAACTAAGTAATAAATATTTTCAGAACTTTCTGAAAAACTTTGGAAAAACGAAACTTGCTTACAAACCATTGTGGCGAACTTCTCCAGCCTACCACTAACCGACTAAACATGGAGCAAATTAGCTTCAAGTACGAGCTGAGAAAGAACTCCATTTTATCAAGTCAGCTCATTGTATCTTAAACGTAATTTCGGTTATATTTTCCTCTATTTGGTCACTCAGTCGTAGGTATTTTGGAATAATTTCCACAGTAGAATTAATTGGAGATATGACGTTTGCTACGTTGTACGTCTTTTCCACTACGTCTGGCTGAGCTACACTTGACACATGCGTAGCGTGATGGAATAATACTTTTGCTGTAGAAAACTTTATATTTTTCACGCAAGCCGAAAACGATGGAGGACGGAACACGTTCTCGACCGTGGGTTACGATAGTATTGACAAAAGTTTCGTCTAGTTGTTTGAACATGCAATCTTTACCTAAGATTTTCCAGCCAGTCTGAAAAGGGCACGTGGATCAGAAACTCATTTCAACTGTTAAACAGAGGGAACCCTCTAAAGGTATCAGAAGTGTTTTTACTCTACGATCTGGCGTCTTACACTAACTGCAACTAAAATGCCTTACGAGTAAATCTTGTACTGGTAACGGTGAAGTGCACTTTTGACCATTTTGACCCCATCTAGAGTACGGAAACACAATACTTCCTCCCTCATTCAATAGGGATAATGACACTCTGGAATGTATCCAACGGCGAGACAAAATATCATTTGTGGGACTCAAACTCAAGTCTTATAAAGAGCGCCTTCAATCACTGAACGGTTGCTTACTAGAATACAGGTGTCTTAAGGGTAACTTCATAGCATCCTATACATTTTTGAGCATCCTCCTAAACACCTACTTCAGCATAGCCCCAACACAAACCTTAGGGGTAGCTCCCAGAAGCTGGAGACACGAACTGATGGCTGAAATGCCAAGACACTATTTAACCAAACTGATTAGTGAATTTTGCACCAAATTCCAAGTCCAGTTATCTTATGTATAAGGCACAGTCAGGCCGTTAGGCCATGGGTTTTCGCGCACATGTAACATATTGTCGTGGATATTTTGTGTCGTTTTTTATCAGCTATTAACAGTCTTTTTTTTCCATCACACGTCAATTTTCGTAATGTTTGTGCTTGTTAAATAGTTTTATTCCAATTCATTAGCAGTTTGACGTATTTTTTGCTCACCAGCTAAGTGAATCTTTAGTAAGCCTAATATGGTTATTTGTAACAATACAAACTCAACCAAATAAGATTCACCATTTTTCAAGTCATAATATAGATCACAGATTTAGTTTTCAGGAAAATAAGCTTTAAAACTTGTTATATACGGTTTACCTCCTTGATTTTGGTGATGATGAACATGGATGTTGGTAGTTGTTTATAAAATGTAGGTACAAGCAATTAAGCGTTAATCCATTTATGAATATTATATAACTTAATAATATTTAGACATAAACAGTTATACCCATTATAAGTATCGTCGTTTTGTACTGAAGTGACATAGTATTATGTAACGTATTTGAGAAGAATTATGTGAGTAACAATTGACGTCGATAGTCATTTCCGTCCGCTTTCTGAACGGATACAGGAACAGTATATAACACCACTGGAAGTGTCACATTAAGTAGTCTCAAAGTCTCCATAAGGAAAACGATATGTATTTCTTTTGAGCATGGTGACAAAACCATCTCGTAGTTAATGCTGATTTATGATGTGTCTGTTATAGTGTTGGGACCACAGATCGAATTACCAAGCAACAACAGTACCAACGTATACACTAAAAGACAGAGAACGCTAAAATAATGCTTTTGGTAGTTATTTTGTGCTTTTCAATGCAGTAAAACATGACTTAAATATGAAAAGACTTGATACTCATGCAATCCAACAAACCCACAGCAATTGAATTACGGAATGACCGCCTCTTGTCAGGCCGTTCAAGGTCGTTGAAACGAAAGCGCGGGCAGCTTCGAACGACTCCTGTGCCTATGTTTAATTGGTTCGTCCGTAAATTATAGTCTCGTCCACTTCAGTCTTTAGTAGTATACCTCCTGTCTTCATAAGGACGGGTCAATCGACATATATTTACCCTTGCAATCTTCAGTATTGTAAAGACTCAATCTGAGATTGAGTTTAAAATTCCAAAGCGATCGATCGATTTGGATTTTTAAACAGGTGCTGATACTACGTGTTTTGATAGAGAATTCCAATAAGTCGTTACTGGGTGCAAGAAACGGGAGTTCTGAGGTAGACGATATGAGCTCGGTTTTTGAATCTTCTTAGAGTGTCCTGTCAGATGATCAATCCTAGACTGAAGAAAAAGATAGAACATAATGATACTGAAATCATCGTTCGTGTTCGGTAAGCCATGATCAAGTCAGCCTGTAATCTGCGGTAAAATAAATAAACTAGGTTAAGGCGTCTCCGTCTGCATAAGATAGGCGAGAGACCACTTAACATTCTGATTCATCGCCGTTGAACTAGTTTCAAAAAGGATTCGCTGTTTGAATCCTATATTCCAATTGCAGCCTAACAAAATTTGTTTGTAAGTGAAATTAAATACTCACTTTTCAAAATCTGATTGTATGTACCGATTTGGGCTGTTTAGCCATGTATTTTACCAATACGTTTTAAATATTTGCAGGTATATTGAAGATTATGGTATAATGAAGTTTGGTCGTGTATCAGTTTAAAATGCTAAAGTACATTTCACGATTTACGAGGTTTTATCGTTATCGTGTTTACAGGTATGACAAACTTTAGGTTTTAACAATATTGTTAGAATTAACACAATTGACTGCATATCATTTTTAGGATTTCTTTATACTTTTGTAAGTGCATGAACCCCAGCTTTTGTAGTTTCATATCAATGAGAACGCCTGCTGAGACCTAAAATCACTTCATTTGTTCGTGTTAGGAGTACTACGGCTATTTTCTTATACGTTGTAATATTATTGTTTAACCACTCAGTCAGTCAGTCAGTCAGCTGCAACGTAGGACCAGGCACGTATATGCATCGGTCCAAGTTGCCATACCGCATTAGCACAACAAGATGAACACCGGATTCATAGGAGTAGTTAATTCAGTGGTGGTAATATATAGAAGAAAGAGTGTGTATAAGGAGATAGTAAAGGAAGAAAGAATTAGTTCCTAGACAGATATGAAGCGATTTTAATCTCTTAATTTAAGGAAGACAGAGAGTGTATACACCGACGCCATTGTGATCGATTCTGAGCCATGTCACCAAGAGTCTCCAACCATTGGTTACGATAGTCACGCGGACCCCAACCAGGCAGTCTGAATCTCCCAACATGGCTCAGACCAGAAGTTAGTGACTTCAAGCACTGATGCCACGTTTTGGTTTGGCCGCCCCTAACTTTCTTCCAATTATCCCCTGCACTAGTCAGCATTGCGCGTCGTGGTAATCGGTGTTCAGGCATACGCAACACGTGGCCCAACCATCTCAGTCGATGAAGATTCATAACCTCATCAACTGATTTACCATCATTCCCTAATACCCTGCGTCTAACCTCACTATTACTTACCCGGTGATCCCAGCCGATGCGAGCAATATTTCTAAGGCACCTGTGGTCAAATACTAGTAACTTACGAATATCTTCCACTCTTAAAGGCCATGTTTCGCAGCCGTATAGAAGGACGGAACGAACTGCCGCGCAGTATACTCGTCCCTTAATTGATAGACGGATATCTCGCCTTCGCCATAGATGACGTAAGTTGGCAAAGGCCAAGCGAGCTTTTCGAATCCGTGCTGAGATTTCGTCAGACACCAACCCATTAGGGCTGATCAGACTTCCAAGATAAGTGAAGTTGTCAACGCGTTCGACTACTTCACCCCCTATCCTTAGTTCGGGTGTTGACGCAGACCAGTCCTGAAGCAACAACTTGCATTTAGAGGGAGAAAAGCGCATCCCAAACATTCTAGCATTGTTGCTCAGTGCTACCAAAAGACTCTGCATTTCATCAGCGTCTTCACCAAACAGGACTATGTCATCTGCGTATTCTAAGTCAATAAGTGGACCTCCTGGTAGGAGATCAATACCCGAGAAGTCAGTCGATGAGAGCGTTATTTCCATCAGGATGTCTATGATAAAGTTAAACAAAAAAGGAGAAAGTGGACAGCCTTGACGGACGCCACTTGAGGTTGCAAAAGCAGATGACAGTTCGCCATAGGCTCTGACCCGACTAGTAGTGTTCGAGTAAAGAGCCTTCACAAGGTTTATGTACTTCTGAGGTACCCCTTTCAATGACAGACACTGCCACAGAACCTCTCGGTCAACAGAGTCAAACGCTGCTTTTAAGTCAAGGAATACCACCATTGTCGGACGCCGATAAGTATGCCTGTGTTCTAGAACCTGACGAATGGTGAATATGTGGTCGATGCAGCCACGACCAGGTCTGAAGCCAGCCTGATTTTCACGTGTTTTCAGTTCACGAGTCTTAGTTAGGCGTCCGAAAATTATCGAAGCTAGTATTTTAGATACTATATTAGTCAAACTAATCCCTCTGTGGTTGTCACAGGATGATTTTGACCCTTTCTTAAATATTGGGACGATAAGTGATTGTGACCAGTTAGATGGAATAACGTCTAACTCCCAGATTTTAGCTAAAATATTAGTCAACCTAATCGCTAAGACTAGACCACCATCCTTAAAGACCTCTGGGGCCAATCCATCTGGACCAGCTGCCCTTCCTCGTTTCAGATTAGCTATAGCCTTTTGAACTTCAGCTAGAGTTGGGGGACCTACTTCAATGTTCCATTCACACTGTCTGGGAATAGAGGGTAGTTGTAGAGTAGCTGAAGGCCAGCTAAACTGCTCCTTAAAGTGTTCCGCCCATCGTTCTAAGCGTCTGGACTGGGAGCAGATGAGAGTGTCGTCTTTTTCCGAAATGGTCTGACTTACACTTGATTTATTAATTCCAGTTTCTTTTATTAGTCTGTAGAGTTGTCTTGTGTTCCCTATAGCCGCCGCCTTTTCCATCTCTTTTGCTTTCGTTGCCCACCACTGCTCACGATCATTCCTTAGACTTTTGCTTAATCTAGATTTGATTTCTTTACGCTCTTCATCGTATTCAAAACCTGATGGGATGAGTTTGCGAGAATCTATCAGTGCAATAGACCTTGACGAAATCCATTGGTTTTTTGTAACCATTTGGTTTAAATCACTGGTAGATGTCACTGCTGTTTCCACAGCTGCTTGTATAACTTTCCAAGCAACATCTGGGTCAGTCTCGTTTTCAGAACTACCTAAGTGTGACCTCAGTTGTTCCTGGAACCTACTTTTGGCTTTCTCATTACTCAATTCGGTTCTAATGAGTCTTTTTTGTGTGGCTCTTTTGCGTCCAGTGAGGCGCAAGCAGATGCGTGCTCGTACTAGGGCATGATCAGAGTCCAAGCAGGTACCCCAGAATGAGCGACAATCTTCTATTGACCCTCTCCAACGATGACTGATGGCAATATGGTCTATTTGAGTCCATCGTTGGTTTGGTGCAGGGGGTCGCCATGTTAGACAATGTCTCTCCTTATGCTTAAAATTTGTGTTTGCTAAAAATAAACGATTGTCTGAGCACAGTTGCAGCAGACGATCACCATTATCTGTTCGCTGTGCCGGAATACTAAAATACCCACCTAAATGTCTTTCTGTTTTGTTTAAGCTACCTACCTGGGCATTAAAGTCACCTCCTACGAGTACTATGTCTGAACGTTTAGCTTTCTGAAGAAGTTCAGACAGCTTTCTGTAAAATTCATCTTTCACTTCATCCGAACTGCAGTCAGTGGGAGCGTAGGCAGAAACGACGAAAAGGCAACGACGTGTGTCCTTATCCTTCCGAGTTCTTACGGAGCCGTTTAGCCGAACAGCGCATAGACGACTGTTAACGGGGATCCACTCTAATAGCGCTTGTTCCGCCCTCATGCTAAGTGCTATGCCTACACCTGCCAGTCCACGAGAACTAGCCATCGGGTCGCCAGATACACGGAGGGTGTATCTCGTTGGCTCTCCGTTTTGCCGAGGTGAGGTCAAGTGAATGACCACACTAGGATCCTGTATGCGTGTTTCGGAGACACAGCATACATCAATGGTACGAGATTCTAAGGTTTTAGCCAAGGAAGCCTGCTGACCGATTTGGCATAGTGTGCGTACGTTGAAGGCTCCAATGTATAGTTTGGAGCGAGGTTTCAGTAGACCTGGGACAGTGTTTTGAGCACTAGAATCGTTGGCTGTGGTGACACTTGAGGAGGAAGCTAAAAGAGGAAGTTTAGTGTATAAAGTCGATGTAGGAGGAATAATAGGAATTGAAGAGGGAGGTTGACTATGAATACAGTGGTCTTGAGTGCTGTTAGAGGTACGAGGGCGGTTATCACTTCCCGGTTGCCCACACCGTGGAAGAGTTCTTCTGGAGGTACCTGAAAAGGAAATTGGATTAGAGTTGGTCATAGTGACCTGAGAGCGTGACCGCAGTGCCCAAGGGACAGCTGCTTGAGGTCGGTCACACACGACCTTTTTATGAGTGATTTTTGTGTTAGCTCCGTACTTGTCGAGTCCTTACCGCCGGAGACGGATATCCGTGGGATAAGGCGAGGTGTGCATTTTTAGGGTCGACCTTTTCTAACCCCACCCCTCCTTGTGGGAAGGCAGCATCGCTGTCATGCTGGTTGTCTGAAGGAAACACCTTACTGCTGTCACACCTCTGTACAGTCAGCAGTACGACTTCGCCTTCGGACCTTGGTTTTGTTGCTTTTAGTCTTACCGCTCTTCAACCGACCTGTCTGGCATGGTAGGACCTTGAGGAACGGTTGTTCCAGCCAGTATAGCTCAGTTGCTTCATCACGATAGGCAAGCCCGACCACCACGTCAAGGTAGCAACAACGGTCAGGTTGTTTAACCACTAAATTTAATGTACTTTATTTTCTGAATGCGGGTTTCGGCATGTACCTTTGAGAAGCACTGCGTAGTGTTTAATGATGTTACTTAACTCCCTAAATCAGAGTGGTTAAGGAAAGGTTCGAAATTGTGGTCTTAAGAGGGGAGGGGGTCTAAAAGAAGCACCTGATTTTGCCATTATATTCACACCAACTTGTTGATAAATGATGTTCATATTGGTGTAATAACTTTCTGGATAGTTATTCAAAACACAGCAGTCATTCTACTTAAGTATGTAAAACCGCGTTATCACTTTTTGTTGACACACAGACACTAAGAAAGTATCGCTTCCAAGGGCCCCGAAAATGAAACTTGATTGAGGGGAAAGTTTTGTGGTACATAGATCGTATCTTCATAGCTTGAGTAATTTCTGCTTCAGGCTGATCACACACAACTCCATGAGTTCTCGATGTCTTAGCTCCTTACTTTTAAGACCTCAGCATTAGCACCGGAAATAAGATGTACTATTTCTCGGCCCGACCTTTCCGGATCACTTTTTTCGTTGTCAGTAGGCAGCGTTGATGGAGATGCTGGCTATTCGTAGGGAACACCTTACTTCTACAACATACCAATACATTCATCCCTATAGTTCCGCTGTCGGACTTCAAATTTACTACCTATAGTTTTATTACTCTTCGATGTAAAGAACAGAAAGTCACTTTGCTTACAAAGTAATAAGTTTGTTAACTATATTACTGTTAAAATAAAGAAACCCATGTTATTTAAGCTCTAACACTTATTTATTCTCACGTCTCAGTTTATTGTATACTCAATCCAGTCCTCGAATTTTGCCAACATTTACCAAAACTTTATCTTTTACTGTATCATTTACTTGGTGGCCATTGGAATTATGGAAGAAGAAAGATATACACGAACAGTGTCAACAACTATTCAATGATTCTTTATTTCATATAGCTACGGGTGAATTCAGTGCGGCAAATGATAAGTTACACGAATTATTGTGGTTTGTCAACCAATCTTATCAAAATCATGAGTTAACTAGTAGCGAATACATCAATAAACGTGCGCGAATATGTTCCGAGATGGCAAATCTAAATCTCCTTATGGGAAATTACTCAGAAGCAGAAAAATTAATTAAACAGACAATGGAGGATTGTTTAACAGCGCAAATATCACCAAATGATGTAATGTTTATTGAGCTGTCACTTAAAATGTCCATGCTTTTCGAAAAGTCTGGTAGATTAAATGATGCAGAGACGGGTTTTCGATTTTGTATAGAAAATCAAGAGAAAAAGTTAACAAGTTTCGATGAAAATATCGACCATATAAATGAAAAAGCTTTACTAGGAATGTGTTGTAATTATTTTGCCAAGTAAGTTCTGTTAATGGTTTTTGTAAATACAATTAAATCAGACAACATGATCATTTAGCCTAATCAACTGTCCAATCTAGGTTGGCGTATATTTTTTTAACGATTTTTCCCGTACTGGTAATAGAAGCTAAATTATCGTAAGAATATTTAACCGTCAATTAAAATCTTCAACAATGAATTTGATTGCATACTCTGACCTAATCAATTTTAGAGGCTTTTTACTGGATGCGTAATTTACCAATTCCGGATTTAGATGACCAAAAACATCAAATGTCTAGATTTGAGATTAGTTTTTTTCGTAATAAATCGTTGAACTATCATTGTTTTGATGTCAACTGACTTATTGGGTTGACTCATGGGACTGCATCTAGTAATGGTGTTCCACTGCGTTGTGGAATATACCTCTAGGTTAAAGGCTTGGGGTGTAGCTCCCTAAGAAAACCACCTGCTTCGGTTTGGGAACCCGTGCAGTATTCCAGCCCTTATACTATTCGAATAATGAAGTGTGGCGCATATATATTTGGTGCCTCCTTTTACCAATGTCTGTTAATGTGGATCCAATCGACTAGTGCTGCCTCAGCTCTAGCGCTTAGTGTGACACCAACGCCAGCAAAACCAGACGAAGATGCCACAGGGTCTCCGGATAAACGCACGTAAAACAAGCTTTTTGAAGCGACAGATGGAGAGCGAATTTGTAGTACTTCATCAGAGTCTTGAATACGGGTCTCGGATAGACAACAAGCGTCAATATTAAGACTTTCCAAAGATATAGCCAGCCCTATTTGTTGTCCGACCTGCATAAGTGTGCGAACGTTAAAGGCAGCCAGTTTGAATGGTACACGTTGTTTCAGAAAAACTGCCTCAGTACTCGTATTCGATGGTAACATACAATTTTCAACCAGGCAGTGACTCGAGAACGTTTAGATAGATCCGAATGTCCACCATAGGTGAGCTGCTGTATAAGTCGAAAAATAAGGATAGACAGAGTGGGAATGAAAGAGAGTGAATAAATGATGTGGTAAATAATAATAATAATAATAATAATAATAATAATAATAATAATAATAATAATAATAATAATAATAATATGAATCGTTTGACAGTAAATCGCAGCGAGAATATAGTTTTCAGTGAATATCATCATTTTCATTATCATTATATTTGTGTGTAGGCTGAGATACAGCCCGGGTGTCCAGACCGAAGCAGGTGGTTTTCTTAGGGGGCCACACCCCGAGCCTCCGAGGAGATGCAGTCCCATGGAAGCCGGTGACCAAGAAATTGGTTCATACTCCATTTGTTGCCTCAGGATACTGGAGCCCATGTGTACCATTGATTTGGGATCCGGTTATGGCGCCGGACGTTCGCTTTTCGTCTTCTCATTTTCGTAAACAACACCCCCGGCACGAGAAGGCAGTGAGTAGGACTTCCCTGGCAGGGGCTGTATACGCGTGGCCATGTGAGAGTATTTCGAGAGAGAGGGCGAACCCGCGCTACTCTCTGCCATACCAGGGCATTTGGGGGCAAATAAGTGATTGGTCTACATGCAAGTTGTATATTCTGTAACTCAATATGTTTGTCTTTTTCGGTCAAGAACAAGTGTGAATTAAGTACACCTTTAACCATAAGTCAAATTTCAAATTTACTGATATTGTCATACAGCAACTTTCATATCTTCACTCTGAACTGATTTCAGAGAAAAATTACAATAAATTATAAGGTAACCTTCTTTCCCACCAAAAATTACTAAGTAACCCTTACTGAGGTCTTCCAAATAAATAGAAAATACACTATTTAACCTATGATTCAATGTTGATGTTATGTTATGCGGTCATCTTATTTTGATGCCAGTGTATAAGCTATCTACATACAAGTCCAAACCAGATTATTGAGTAAGAAAACCAAGTCACCTGGAAGCATTTATTGACTAAAACCAAGATGGCAATATGTGTATATTCATTCATAAATAAACGTCTTTTTCCTCTAGAAGATCAAGCTACATTTTCAACCAATGATGTGCCCTTCTTTCCTTAGAAAGTGAAGCCAAATCTTGGCAAACAGCATGCGCTCATTATTTAACCTGTTTGAATAGTACGGTATATCAGTTTACAAACAGGCATGCACGGGAACTATGGTGACAATTTATTTTTGAGTCCGAGGTGAAACTATAATTTGTGAACGAGCCAATGAGATGTACATAACAAGCCCTGGATTTTGGTGTGAAACTCAATCGCCTATATGATTAAATAGCTTTTTGTCATTATAGCTGATTTCAGTTCGTGATAAAAACCCTAGTTCTAATTTTCAATCGTAACTTCTAACTTTAAATTCAAATCCTATTTCCTCAATAATTTATAACCCTCTTTTGACCCCAGTAAGCCGTTGAATTTTCTCGAGGTCATTTTGATATTGCTCAAAAGTTGTTCATAGATTATAGTCCCACCGAATTCGATAATTATTCATAGCTACGGAAAATTGCATCCAATTACTTTCATATTTATTTTTAATTCACAGATTTCTCTTTGCTAATAAAAGACAAACAGAAGCTTTAGTTTATGCTCAACGAGCTTATGAAATTGCCAGTCAAATTTATCCTTTAGACCATGCAAACTGTTTAAATTCATTAATTGATATTAGCGTAATCCATGCTGATTTAAATGAATTTACAGAGTCTCAACGTATTCTTGAACAAGTTATTCAAACAAGTCAAACCAAGTATAAATTTTTCATTAATAATTACTCTAATGATAATGAACTACTGAAATCAAATGTTTCAAAACAACGTGAAATGCATGAAATTGTGTATACTCTAATACATTCAATATTACAATTAGCCGTTGTTAATTTAATGTTGAAAAAACCAGAATCCGTGAACCAGTTATTATTACAAGCTGATCATATCTTAAACCAAATTGATCAATTAGGTTTAAAAGTCTCCATTTACCGTAAACTTATTAATGATTTCAAAATAGAACATCATTTTCAAGTCTAGAAATGTTTTCGTCCCTCTCATCTTTGTTGTTTCTTTCTTGAATTTTCTATAGAGATTTATATGAATGTATTTTAGAGTTATATTATAAATAACTAAAATTGTCTATATATTTCAGTGACGTGACATGGTTACTTTCTTATGTTCACGATAATTGCTGAAAATCATTCTTTTTTTCTCACCTTTCTATCATTATTTCTTGTTGATAAGTACCGCTAAAATGCTTTTCTTAGTTTTACAATTCAGATTGTTTTACTATTATGAGTCAAAAATCCTTAATTCCTTTCATGACCTTTGCTCTTTACTGGTTGGTTACTTTATGATTCAGTGTTACATCATATGTTACAGGATCACTAACATAGATTATATTTTCAAACAAGTTGTACAGTAATACGACTTTTTGTAGGTAAAGTAAAATTATTTACAAAATGTCAGCTTGTTAGTTATGTGTGTTAACGTTTGTTACATCCGAACGAAGAATAAATGAATGGTAACTGCTAGGAATTATTTATGTATTCTTATTGGATAATTATAAGAAGCTAGAATATATATATTCGTATTTCTTTTATTATAAGCTTTCATTTGACCTATTGGCTACTGTAATACGACTTACCACTCTTAACTTATTCCCGATTTATCAGTTGCAGTATCCCACACAACCACTTTTGATTGATCTTGCTTAATTATTATTCCTCATTTTATGGTGTGATTTAGTCTGGTCTGCTTGTATATAAACCGAGTATGCCTGAATCATACAGTTCACTAAGCAGAGTCTGAGATTGTGTTCTGGACTGAACGGGCTGGGTTAGGTGAGGAGCTACTATACGGAGGACCAATAAGGACTCTAAGTTGACTCAAGGCTATTCGTGCTAGATAACGCATCATTAGTTTGGCACATGGACAAGGTCATATAGGTCGGTGTTCTGGTTGACGGTTTTGTCACGTGATATTTGGCGGGCCATAGAACATAACAACGTTTGAAGTACTGTTTGCCGTATATCGTTGTGTCGCATTAGGTAGATATCATTTGTAGAGTTAGCGTTTGAACTCTCTATCATTAGGCATAAAATACGTAACCTTCGGTGATATGTGCAATCACTGCTTTTCGAAATATGGGTCACTTCATTAGCTTTGTGAATTTTGCCTGACATTACATTTTCTACAGCGTCACCCATCACAGTAAACGTACATAAGATGTGTACATGAAATCGGTGTTTATGAGAATGTCTAACAAAAGTTTTAGGAAAAGTTGAATTCCGTAAATCGGTACAAATAATTAACTTGACTGAAAGTTATCCTTCTTGCAATACAAATTAAAAGTTCAAATAATTGAGAAAAAATGTATCCTTCTGATGTTCATCCACTCATAGTAAGCTGTGATTGGCTCATGAACGCAGACAGACAATTATGTGCATTTTGGTTTGTATACTTTTCTAAATCTGTTAGTTGATATGATATATACAAATTATTCAGAATAATAGCGTATTCTAATTGTGAGTTAAGTTGACATGTGATATATTATTTACTATTTAGATATCTAGTGTAATGCGTGACTATGGTATACGCAACGAGATCATCCGATTGTTCATCATAAGAAACTAAGCAACCTATTAGTGTAACTAGAAAAACCTAACTTAATTTATCCCACAAGTGAAGCACAACAATATAAGGTATTGGATTTTTCTTATTTTGTTTGAATAATACCTAGAACCCGCTTTTGTAGTTAATATGGTATATACAAATCTTAGTATTGAAATCTCCCGGGAACGTAACCAGTAAAAAACACTTAAACAATAGTATAGGGAATTAACGGCAAGTTGGATGAATTAATAGGTTATATATATTTCATATTTACAGATTATTTATTATTACTAGCTGTATACAAAATAAGTTTGCTTGTACAAGTGGTGAGAAACGTACATAAATCACTAGTTGTTTGTACTTCGCAGTCTGACTCTCGTAATGTACAACTCTTAGACGTTATCCTAGGTGGAGGGAGTTTGTCTACAAGATAACATATTGAAAAATAACTTCTTTAAATAAGTGAAAACATTGTAGTAACTTATTCAGAAATAGTAATGTCCTGGTAAGGCATGTATTTATTTTAGTGTGCGGTTTAAGTGGTAAATTGTGCTAAAATATTTTTGATATTGTCCTTTATTACTCATAAATATGCTAAGGTAACATCTAGTGAATGTTTATTCTAGGTTATTTAGTTTATTAAACATAAATTTGTCGTTTCCTAGATCATTATTACCACATATATTGTGTTAATTTATCGTTTCAAGTTGAATCGTTCTAGTCAGATGCCAGAAACCCTAAACGAAATGAATTCCATATTTAAGCTATATTAGCTACATCAGTCTTTACTAATGCCACTTAAACACAATCTAAGAAATGTCGTAAAGAATTCATACGAATTCAAATCAAACATCTCAGAGTTATCCATCAACAAGAACGAAACAATGGTATGATGTATCTTTATACACTAGCATTCCAATCCATAGATGTCTTGATTTCGTTAGTGAATTACTATGGATTGATATTACTCTATTTCGCAGATGCCATTAAGCATTAGTTTAATCATGAAACCCCACAAACTGCTTGAATCTAACACTTTTCAGCTTCAAAGGGACTTAATATATAAACAAACGAATGGAGTAGTTATGGGACCTCCAGTATCTCCGATTGCTGTAAATTTATTTATTTCCCACATTGAGTCGCTTATTCTTGCCAGTAACATCAGACCACTCATCTGGCTCAGATATATAGATGAAATATTTGTCATCTTTAAAAAGACTCTTCTTAGCAATTTCTCCAAACACATAAACACGCTCTCAGAACACATCAAATTCACTTTCGAAATGAAGATGAACATGGCGAACTACCTTTCTTCGACTGTTCAGTTAAAAGGAATTCTAGTGATAGTCTCAATCTAACCATATACCGAAAACCGACACACTCAAATCGGCACATCCATTCGGTGCGAAAACTTCCCTAGCCCTGAATCTCTTTTTAGAAGAGCAACTAGGATCATTACTTCAGAAGACAAACTAAAAGGAAAAGAGAATACAACAAACATCCTACGTTTTAAATTTTTTCCTAAAAATATTAAAAAACTTATACAAAACTGTCCGTCTGTAAATAGCAATCCTGATGAAAGATCGTGGTGGTTTTACCTTACCGCCAAGGTACGACGGCGGAATTACAATGGTTATTGAAAACGTACAAAATTAAAGCTTTCTATAAAACAACTAACACTCTAGGAAACTCTTAAGTTAGAATGAAAGATGCGATCCCGTTCACTTCCATACAAAATTGTGTCTACTGGTCAGGTTGTATCGATGCCTTTTATATTGGAGAGTCTTCCCATGAAATCTTGACTCGTACCAAAGAGCACATAAGTTACATAAAAAGATCTAATAGTCATGTAGAATTGGAAAATGTACAGATTAAGTCAGCAACAGCAGTACATGTTATTGTAAATAATCATCAAATTGATATTAAAAACATCAAAATAATTTAGAGGCGAGTAACCGAAGCGCTTCACATTATGATAAATCCCTCTGCCTTTAATAGAAAAGGAGGCCTGAATATTCATCCAACTTGGACTATTTATCCAAATAACCATGTCTGACCTTATTTATTTTCCATACCATCTACACACGCCTAATTTCAACCCTACTACATAATTTTACAAATGCATACATTTTTCATACCCACATTTTGACACACAAATTAATAGTGACAGGTCATACAAATTCGCCTTGATCAAGAATAACCTGACATTGACATATTCAGACCTATTATGCTTTTAATTGTACCAAAAATATTCTGCATTGTTCCCTTTGCATTATTTAAACTTATGTTAATTTAATTTGGTTATTTATTCACTCTGAAGAGGTGGCTTACATCAAGTCGCGAAACGTCAGAAATAGTTTTTCTACTCATTGGGATATGGCAAACATACATTCATTACCACTCATTACTAATGAAAGTTTATTTGTTTATGTACAAGCAACCCAACTCGGTATAATTTTGATTAAATCTCTATATTGTCAGTACTCATTGAAGTAGGGAAAAGGAGTTTGTTTGTATCCTACCAACTTACAGGATCTGCACCTGGAGAACAGTGCTCAACCAAATGACAACTAATCAGTCATCAAGTGCAAGGTAATCCACTGCTGTGAGGAGTTAAGAAGTCAGAGACATTCATTTCCTGTAGACAGTTTGAAGACTGAATGAATTGTTGGTTTGGTTTATTAATTTGGCTGGTTACCATGTCAGTAGTTTGACGTATGAAAACACCTTGCCACTAAACGCATTGAGACGGAAACAAGGGTTTTTGTATAATTCCGTTGATATGTGAATGTGTCTGAATCGGAGGCTGGAAACAGTCACGTCCAATATACGACGTTCAGGTTACTGGGCACTACGGTCTCGCCAATTTAAAGTAGGAGTGTTTTGTTTATAAATGTTAACAAATAAGTCTTATACAATTAGAAGGGTCAGCACCAAAGCCAGTTGGCAGTGGGTTCGTGGGTAAGTCGAATTTGAGATTTATGTTAATGCGTAAGATTAAAAAAACTACTGTTCCGCAAAAAATATCATCAACCATATCAAACTTGAGTGTGAGCATTATGCAGCTTATGTCTAAGTCTGATGGCGTGTTCATCCATGGAAACTTGATGTTAGACTATCAAGTTTGCAGTTCTCTTCGTCATCTGAATAAGAAATACGAACGTTGGATGAGTGTCTTCAACATTTTTAAGTCTATTGAATTCGTTGGATTATTACTTCACATTACAGATGGTCATGGTGAGTCAGTTAATGTATGATAATCCTAAAAATTCCATGCGCTATATCTTGCCATATGTCATGAAACTTAAAGTTGCCAGCCACTACAATACTTGGCACTTCATCGAACTGGAGGTTTTACGGGAGAGTACGAAGTAAAGAGTTTTTGTTCTTTATAAACATTACGCTGAGTAGTATCACTGTTCTTGTCATTACAGGAAAAGAACTTGCTAAATTGTATGGAACTGTGACGCAAGGATATTTCCACGCTATACGAGACAAACCACAAAAGCGTCGTAGAAGGAGAAATGCAAATATTAACCTGAAATAATGTTTGATTGCTGTTCTATAGGTGCGTAACATAGCACAGTTTTCATGAAATCTCTGTATTGTCAGTGTTGATTGAAGTTGAAAATGTGGAGTATTGTATATTAACTCTCGTCTACAAGTCAACCATTCACCAGAAAAACCTAAAAAATTGTTAATGAATGATAATCACTATTATTTTTGTGGAACTTGAATATCATGAAGTAAATTATTTTAATTGAAATCATGAACCGATCAATGTTAGACGACTACTAGAAACTTGGAAGCACTGGATGGCTGATTCATCCTGGTATGAGACTCCTCAGCAGTGCACATCCACGATCCCTCACGCAGGACTGGAATTCGGTGCTTTTGATCTCGCGCGAATGCTCAATCTCTAGACCATTGAGAAGGGATCCAATGATGTTAATGTCTAACTTCAACCAATCCACAATATTACGCGACCATCTTCCAGTGGGGCTTAACTGTGTTGGGTGCGTAGCAGTTACCCACCAAAGAAAGCGATTTAAATGAAACTCAGTGATTTCCGAAATCCCATACCATACTGTAAACTATTTTCGAAGGTTGACTGAGTCCTTCTGAAGATATCAGAGTGTTGATTTGTTTTAAAACTACAATTTTTACCTTGTTATGTAATGATTGACTATATA